GGAACGAAATGTCGTGTCTCGCAGGACCAAGGTGCTACATAAATAAACATAAATATAAACATACAACACTAGATGTAAGAACAATTTTTAGACCTACATAGCTAACTTTCTGAAGCAGTAGTCTAACTATACATATACTATAAATAGTTGACTATACATACACATAACCTAAGACAGACTATACAAGTACTTTACATAACTGTGGATGATATTGTGCAAAAGAGGTATTTAAGATTAAGAAGCAAATAGTGCAATATGATAGTGGTGCATTCACAAGTAAACATTTATTTAGTCCTTATTAAGTTCTTGTAACATGGAATGTTTATAAGAACATGTCTGGTGCATTTAGAAAGAAACGATTGTGTTTCTGCAGGTAGGGTTGTGGATGAGATTTCAGCGGGGGCTCACAGCCTGGCGGAAAAAGCTGTTGAGCAGTCTTGCAGAGCGGGCTCTGATGCTCCGGTACCAGATAAGGATACGTGTGAATGTGTGTATAGATCACTAACTGTCATTCTTCATACTTCCTCATGTGTCATGTCTCATCTTAAAAAAGCAAAACTCCCCTGTGGAATCAGCTCTTGACCAGCTTTTCCAGCTAATTCTTAGATGAAGTTGCTAAATACTAAATGCATTGCGTAACCATGACACAAAACTGCATTATTGCTAAGAATACACAATGAGATTACTCAAATCTCTGTGAGAAATATGATTCAAAATATATTTAGATTTGTCCATAACATTTTATTTTTTATTTGTAAAAGAATATAAAGAACATCTTTATGATCAGATATTTTAATTACATTTCATTTTTTGTTTATTGTTTATTATTAATTAGTAAAACTACACATTCTGAAAATAGTTTTAAGCAGTGTACTGGGAGTTCATCTCCTACTCTCTAATAAAAGTCTGTAAAAATAAGGCACAGTGCACTGTGTTAATATTAAGCAATCTGTATTGATTTTTCACAGGTGTTTTAAATTACACGTTAAATTTGGGGTTTTAGGGTTACTACTTAACAGATAATGTATTGGCAGAAAATTACCAGTACCTTTTCCATTTTTCACATATTCTTTCTAACAGTGTACCTAAGTGACAAGCTAATAACATGCTGTATCATAAATAAACAATTATTAGTGTACAAGTGCAAGTAGCAACTTCATTTTTTCTACTGCTTGGCTGGCTGGCTGTTCAATGGTTTCCCCGTTTTGTGTAATTTAGATGAAAATATGTGCCTTTTTTATGGTAAATATTTTTTTTTTTAATAGCTACATTTCTTGCCTGGAGCTTTTTGAAAAAGAAAAGAAAAAAAAAGCTACATTTAGCAACCAACACTGCTCTTGACAACTGCCTTGCACCTTCCCTTATGGTTATAAATCCTGATCATCTGTATTTAAATGCCCAGTAAGTTACCTTAGTAAGATCAAATGATCTAGCAGTTAGCATTTCACTTTTAAATCACATAATGAATCACAACCTATTGAACAATGAAGGAAAGCAGGAAGATTGTTGCTGTGGGTGAGACGTGACACAGACGAGAGGACAGGAGCTTGTCTTTTCAGAGGGGCGTTTCCAGTCTGGATTGCCTCACTGGGGAGGTCACCAATTTATCTTTAAATATCCGGGATAACAAGAGTTACATTAGATGCTGACTCACGACCTGAAGAGTGCCTCCGAGCCAGAAGTCTTTGATTGAAAAACTTTGGGTTAGTACTGTAACTTACAATATTTGTTCAATATTTCCACTGCTAGAGAAAGAAACTGTAATCGGTAAACTAACTTGTTTTATAACAGAATTGGCCTCTTTCGCTTTCATTTTAAGGTAACGAGAAAGAAGAGACCACAAAGGAGTCTTCAGCACCAGGCTGTGAGTTTTTTAAAGTCCTTATAATTTCTACACATTCTCACTCCCAAAAATTTGGGGTTATGCCTCCGAGCCAGAAGTCTTTGATTGAAAAACTTTGGGTTAGTACTGTAACTTACAATATTTGTTCAATATTTCCACTGCTAGAGAAAGAAACTGTAATCGGTAAACTAACTTGTTTTATAACAGAATTGGCCTCTTTCGCTTTCATTTTAAGGTAACAAGAAAGGAGAGACCACAAAGGAGTCTTCAGCACCAGGCTGTGAGTTTTTTAAAGTCCTTATCATTTCTACACATTCTCACTCCCAAAAATTTGGGGTTAATACGCAGACACTATGGGCACGGTAATTTAATCACGTCAGCTTTAGCCCTATTCAGACGGTAAATGTTTCTCATGTGGAAATATGTAACAATACATTTGCATGGCACCTCAGTGATAAAACTCAAGCATTCACTACTCATGTGCTCGGTTGCATGATTGTTTGCTGTGAATAAAATGGCACATGCTTAAAATAATGAGAATAAATTCATATTTAATGTAGTAATAGTTTCCTATTAAATTATTTTCTATGTCCTGGTTAAAAACAGGAAGATAGATGTAGTTAACGCAGCCTCTTATTAATATGGTGTAAGCCTAAAGCTGCTGTTGATGTTTTTGATGCATACAATCATATACATATTTTAAAATGGAATTGCACACCTGTTTCTGCCAGAGTAATGGCCCTTTTCTCCTTTTTGTTCAGCTTCCGTGGTGAAGCGGTGTTGAAACAGTTTTCTTATAAACACTTTCCAATAATTCTATAATAAATGTATCTCTAAAATGCGTGAAAATTACAGTGAAGCTCAACACTCATATGATAAAAATCTTTTAAACAGTACATTTTTTATTGATCTCTTGTTGTAAACTCAGAGATGTGTATTTGGATGGCAATTATAATTCGGCCAGGGATTGTTATGAGAGTAGTCAGAGAATTCTGAGAAATTCTGGATTCAGATGGCAAAAAAATCACCGGCTAGCCCCTGTAAATACCTTACGTGCCCCTGAGAAACAATTACCATCCGAATAGAGCTTTCGATTGGGAAATGGCATTGTTTCTCGTGACCGATTGTGTCATGCTAAAATGTATATCTTTTGAGTGGGATCATTTTCAGTGTTTAAAACCAGCAGTGGAAGTAAAGAATTACTACTACTCACATTACTGTAATTAAGTAGTTTGTTCATGGATTTGTACTTTAAGGAGTATATTTTAAAGCCTGTAATTTTACTTGTACTTAAAGATGACCTATTATGCCCCTTTTCACAAGATGTAACACAAGTCTAAGGTTCTCTTGAAATTAGCTAATTAGGTCACATGTCCACCAAAGCATTTTTAGCCAGCTGAAAACGGCAGGCTCTCTGCTTAAAACACCTGTATGTGAGTCTTTAAGAGCACTTCGGCAGCGCAGTGTTTTTTGCCCAGATTATACAGGATATGGTGATTGGTCAGTGCTGTATTTGTCCCGCCTCTCCTCCACTCTGATTGGACAGCTGGGTAAAAAGTGACAGTAATGAATGCTGTGTTTTACTCAAAGTTGAACATTCTTCAACTCTTGACGACCGTTCGGCACGCTCCTGGCGTTTTACATTTTTCAATAGATTTCAATTACAATACATATTTTTAAAGGCCGTTTTCTCAAAATGAGTTTTTTCTCCTACACTGAGCCATAAATCTCCACTTCAGTAGCACTTACATTCACCAAACTTTGTTTTATCCCTGTGTATATCTTGAAGGTTTTTACGGAGGGATTTGTTCATATTTAATTTGCTTGATTATATACAGCATTTTAATCCCACCAAAATTGTGAAAATATAGTGTTTATGTCCGTGCTAAGCATTTTCTGAATTAAAACGAGATACCCAAATGTAAAAACGTTTGATTCTAATATGTCAAAAAAATTTAACAAAAATTTTGAAACTGACATCATCCAGTGTTTGGATTTTTGTACTAGAAATGTATGCAAATTAGCACATATTTCATTAAATAATGATTCATCTGCATATCTAAACCTAACATTTTAGAAAACTTGTAATACAACATTTTTATAAGTAAGGTTAAATATGGTTAAGTAAGGTGATAACTATTAGTTGTTGTTTTTTTTTTTACCCTCTTCACCTGCAGTGTCTCACCTTAAGTATTATTAGGGGCCAAGCCCCTATTACTGACACTTCTTCTTCTCGTCCAATGGGAGTCTATGGCAGCCCTATGAAGGGAACATAGGAAAATGATGAAATTTGGCACACTTGTGGTGATGGCCATGAATAGTGATCTGACCAACTTTGGGGTCTCTAAGACCAACTCTATAGCACCACCACCAGTTCAAAAATTCAACATTGAAATGGTAATAACTCTTGAACCCTAATTCTAGAAAAATGAAATGTAGTATACCTGATTACTCTCCTCATGCTGATCGCATTGAACACCTTACATTAAGTCTGCGCCCATTACAGTAGCGGCTATTTTGAAAAGTACAGTTTTTCATTTTTTCGCTACTCCTCCTTCAAATGTTGTCCAATTTTTCCGAATTGTACGAAAATGCCTTAATTTAAGCATTTACATGTTTCCTTACAGTTAGACCATAAAATATATATTTATAAATTCCAGTCCGTTACTGAGTACGCCTACAATTTGATATGGCAGGTTTTCCTCGTGGTATCAAAAATGGTCTTGAATATCAACGTATTTTATGGTATCATATCAAAGTTAGAAAGGCCGATATTATTACACAAATTCATATGCTTCATAGCTACTTCATCAATAAGGTAAAAGTGTTTTGTTTGGACTTCTGATTTGATTCAATAGTTATTGCTGATTCATTTAATATAAATAAATATGGCAAAAAGTTTCCCCAATATATAATTTCATCAAGATGATAAAATTCCCATGCCTATAGCATCTGCATATTGAAGCCAACAGTTTCTCATTAACAGCAATGAAAGCAACCCTGCACATTGGAAAGTGGCATTAAAGGGGTCGTATTATGCCCTTGTTTTTGAAGTATACTAGAATGTGTTTTCATGTTTGATTGTTCAAAAAATGCATTATTTTTCACATTTTTTACATTAATACAGCTCCCCTTTCCCTCATGCGATTCAAAAGCCCGTTTAGTTCCTGTTTTGATAAAGACCTGCCTTCCAAAATATAAAATCGGCTGTGATTGGTTAGCTGGCCCTGTGTGCTGTGATTGGCAGCACTTATTACGTGTTTGGGAAATTCATAAACGTGAGTTCTGCTCAGTGTTTAGGGACCATCTCTAAAGGAACAGCTAACACTTAATGGCCACCTGCGTCACTAATAATTCTTACAGACAGTACCTTTTACTTACTGCTCACTTGCATTAATGTCTGTTTAATTCTAGTTTCCTTAAAGATTGTTTCTCTTCTTAAGGATCCTAATATAAAGAAAAATGTTGAGTGACATCTTCTACCCTGACAACCCTAAGAGAAGGGAGCAGCTCATCCGCAAAGGGCAAGAGCTTCGAGATCTGATGAAGAACAACTTCAGAGCCACCAACCAACTGAATGATGCTATGAACAAGTACTTGAGTTGCTCCTTCGAACATATCTCCCTTAACGAGAACGCTACTCTTCGGGAGAACTGTACTCTGATAATGGGATGCATGTGTAATATAATGGTAGTGGTAGAGAGGATTGACAGGGAGCTGAAGGAGAAGCTGGAACCCACCATGTACGAGAAACTGAGAAAACTGTCTCTGTCTTCTGCAGACTTTAAAGCAATTTCAAAAGCTTTGGAAGCGGTTTGTGGTATTGCAACTGTGGAATCTACTGTTTTCGTTGGTTATTTAATTGATAATGTAGTTACTCTGGCAAACATAACAAAAATGTATGCTGTAATTGGAGCAGGGAAATTGGCCTGTGTTAGGTTGGCAGTGGTGTTCTTGGGGATCGACATGATTGTGAAGGACATCATTGGGAAAATCGAGCGTGATCAACTTAAGAAAGCCCTAGAAGAGTATGACAAAGTTTTGGATGAATTCAGGCCAGCGTCTGAACAATATCAGGATAAAATTACCTATGTCAGAGTCAAAATTGAGATGGAGAAAGAAGACATGCTAGTTTGAAATGTTTCTTTTTCCTGCCTGAAATGTTTGCTGGAATTATGAATTCATTATTGTTGTTACGTCTTTGTGCTTACAAAAGCATGCAGAAATATATGAAAATTTAGCTCAAAGTGACAATGTAACATAATATGTGGAATGTGGAAAAATCAAAATAAATCACAGTTCTGCAATTAAAGGGTCATAAAACCATGGGTGATTGTCCACTTCTTCCATAATACAAATATGACATAAAGAGATAGGTGCTGCTATCTCTCACTCTCTCATCATTTGGAGACAGAATATGCACAGTGGTAATTACTGTAATATCAACAAAAATATATAAAATAAAACGAAATGCAAAAATGCATGTATGTCCTTGTCAATCATTACTGAATCAATGAAAATCACATTGAACTACAGGTTTGTGTTGCTATACACACACTTTCAATCCCCTGAATAGAATCTCTCACAACAACACAAATCTGCAAAACAGGTGTTGTCTTAAGCACACCTGATGCAGCTGATCAAGGGCTTCATTAGTTTCAGCAGGTGTGCTTGTATATTATATTTTATATAAAATTAAATCAATGCATATTTTAAAAAAGATATATATTAAACAAATCAATGCATATATTTTGAGACAAAGGTCTTCTTAACAATTTTCAGTTTTGTTTAAGATAATTAAAGCAACAGTTTTTAAATAACGAAAGAATATGTAAAAGTATGGTATTTGGGGTAAAAAGCGCCCCTGCTGTTGGGGCTAAAGGCGCACAGTAATTAACATGATAATTAACAGACGGCTGACTTTTCCATTTGTTGACATGACATGGTTAGATTCAGATGGTAAATATCATATATTATGTTGGGTGTCCATATTAGAGATAATCACCATGTTTAGAATGAAACCATCATATTTAAAAACATGATATTAATCATATCATATAATAAAATATCATTTGTTGTTATACTGTACATATACATTCAATTATTATTGGATCTCCATCAATGCTTTCAGAATCTTTACTTATTAAAATGATTTTGTTTCTGTATTTTAAAATATATTTTTTATATTAACATTTTATTTATTGAAAAAAATTCAAAATAAGCAGAAAATAGTTGCTAAAGTGATTGTTTTGAACAAGTCTTAACTTAGCCATTATTTAATAAAAACATTATTAATCATTCTTCTTCACATGTGCAATGTTTGGTGGGTGAATGCAATGGATAGTAGGCCTACTTCGGACTATTTAAATTGAGTAGTGTAGCCTAATTTTATATATGTTTGGTTGGCTTATTTTATTTTGATAATGAACAGGCTGAATTTGTTCCTTGTGACAGCAGAAACGAGTGAGACATCATTATGAAACTATAAAGGGTCTATTTTTATTTGTGTACAGTCACAATAACAACAAAACACTGTGCTTTACAAAATAAAGAAAACAAACAGATGTCGCTTTCTGCCATATAGGCTATTGATTTCCTTTTCATGAACTTGTTGCATTAGAAAATTTGACTTCATCAAAAGTCATGGATGAAATTGAATGCTAAATGCTCATGTAATGAGAGATATTTTGAGTGTGACATTTTTAATGCTGACATAATGTATTAAATATAATACTTTAAAAATAAAGCATACTTAAATTGTCAGTCAAATATTGAAGCATTCTTACACGAGCATGACTGCTCATATTTGGAAAAGCAGCAGGCTTCCAAACGTGATATAGCTTTTGTATAACTGATTAATAAACAATATGAGATACTATTACCTGACACTTTGTTTTTCCTCTGTTCCAGTCAAAACCACAACCAGTGGTGATTCTTTCCTGTATGACTCTGTGAACGAATCGGTTGAGCGAATTAGTTAATGACTCGTTCATTAAGAACGAATCGGTTGAATGAATGATTCAAACTGGCTTATAATGCAGTCACTTGTCACCACCTATTGGTGTAACTGTGTAGTGGATATATAGGCAGAGCAGGGTAGTAACTGATTACATGTAATCTGGATTACGTAATCAGATCCTGAAAATTAAGTACTTGTAATTAGATTAAATTACATTTTAAAATACTTGTAATCAGTTACTTTTTTATTGATTACTTGATTACATATATTCACACAATAGCAATAAATTATTCTTAATTGTTATCCCTAATTATTCTTCTTATTTTTATGACTTAATTAATTATTAGCGTTGCATTAAACTCGCAAACCCACTAAAGTTCCTTCACAAACTCCAGTTTGGGAAACCTTGACATAATGTAATGCTTAATTCACTTTATGTTGTTAATAACATCAAACGGAATATATTTTCTTTGCATTTTAATATCAGTGTGGTACAATATTATCCTATTTAAATCAATGTGATAAACGAGTTACATTAAAAGTAATCTTTAACCTAAAATGTTTAATGTAATGGATTATGTTACTAACTACAATTTTTGTCATGTAATTTGAAATCAGTAACGGATTACACTTTGTAAGTAATCTACCCAGCTCTGTATCTAGGGATATAAAACATGAGATTACAAATTATGTCAAAGTGTAACCCTTAACATAATTATAAATTAAAATGTGATTTATTATATATAACACATTTAATAAAAGTACAAACTCCTTGATTCTTTACCCATATTTGATATCAATTTGGTTGAAATATCTCATATTGTAGCTACTGTCTATTAAACGAATAATACACATCTATGGCATAATGACCTTGTGTTACTTCCTGGCCGTCTCTATGTGTTATTTAATTGTATTATCATTCATATATTTTTTATAGTAAAATGATCTTTAAATGTATAAGAACTAAAATATTGCAATTGATCAATTTTTTATTTTTATTTTTATTGAACTTCAAAAAACACAGTCAAAGTACAGTTAGGACTACAATAATACACATGAAAAAATAAAACACAAACAAAAATAATAATAATATGTATACAAAATACACATACAGCCAGGGGGGTGGGCTAAACATTATGTACATATATTAAAGTACTTACAAATGGAGACAGTCTCCCTTTTCACATAATGGACTCTCTCTTTTCTAGCATTTTAGATACAGTTGCTCCTTTACGCTTAAGGAAGATTAAGGAAAACAGTCTGACACCGTGGTATAATGAGCACACTCGCACCCTAAAGAGAGCAGCCCGGAAAATGGAGCGCAGCTGGAGGAAAACAAAACTAGAGGTATTTCGTATTGCTTGGCAGGAAAGTACCCTATCCTACAGAAAAGCATTAAAAACTGCTAGATCTGATTACTTTTCGTCTCTTTCAGAAGAAAACAAGCATAACTCCAGGTATTTATTCAATGCAGTGGCTAAATTAATGAAAAATAAAGCATCAACAGGCATTGACATTTCCCAACAGCACAGCAGTAATGACTTTATGAACTACTTTACTTCCAAGATCGATACTATTAGAGATAAAATTGTAACCATGCAGCTGTCAGCTATAATATCGCATCAGATAGTGTGCTATAGATCGCCTGAGGAACAATTCCACTCATTCTCTACTATAGGAGAGGAAGATTTGTATAAACTTGTTAAATCATCTAAACCAACAACATGTATGTTAGACCCTATTCCATCTAAGCTCCTAAAAGAGGTGCTTCCAGAAGTCATAGATCCTCTTCTGACTATTATTAATTCATCATTGTCATTACCACCGGGACAAGACCACAGGAACCAGATGAGTCCTCTGCACAATGTGACCTTGCTGCAGCCTGGAATTGAACTGCTGGTTTCGTCTGGTCAGAGGAGAACTGGCCCCCGACTGAGCCTGGTCTCTCCCAAGGTTTTTTCTCCATTCTGTCACCGATGGAGGTTTGGTTCCTCTGGCTTGCTTAGTTGGGGACACTTAATATCCAGCGATATCGTTGACTTGATTGCACAGATACTATTTAAACTGAACTGAACTGGATGATGACATCACTGAATTCAATGATGAACTGCCTTTAGCTGAAAATTGGTTATTTGCTATTGTCCTTTTGCATTATTGACACACTATTTTCCTAATTAATGATGTTCAGCTGCTTTGACACAATCTGTATTGTTAAAAGCGTTATATAAATAAAGGTGACTTGACTTGACAGTCTTAATTGCTTTCTTGTTATGTAAATAAATAAAAAATTCTTAACATAAATTTGAAAATAATAAAGGACTGGTTTTACTGTACATACACTAATGAATATGAAATTTAGCAAAAACTAAAATTAAATGTATAATGTAGCAGCCTTTTCCTTTTATTTGAGGGGATATTAGTAAAACCAAATAAAACATGTTCTAAGCACAAAGAAAATGTGGGGTCAATGTTAACAATTATAAAACTAGTCAAATCTTTAAAAAAAAAAAATGGCATGAGAGCAATGCCAAAATAAATGAAACAAAGTTTCAAGTAATCATATTACAAAAAGAACAATTCAAATCAATATCATTTTTAAATTTAACAAGGAAATTATTTACTGGGTAGTATCTATGTAAAATTTTAAAGGTTACTTCCTTGACTTTGTTTACCAATAGGTATTTGTTTGGGAAGGTCCAAATGGCCTTCCATAATAAACCTTTATTGCCATTTTTATCGATAAGCGCAGTATGACGCACGCCGCTGACGTCAGTGGCGTGAGCTGCAGATCTGCGCTGTTGCGCATGCGCAGCCGGAGCGCCGCGTCAGTTTCGATTCTCTAACGTACCGATAGAAACACGAACCCAATCGCATCAGACCGACAGAAACCTAATCAAACTCTCCGGATTCCTTATAGCAGTCTGCTTTCACGCGGTCTGTTCTCCTCAGATACTCCAAACGCGTAAGAGGATTTGGTTTTATTATTATTACCGCTCTCTAAATAAGCAGTGTGATGATGCTAATGCTACTCGTGAAGCTCAATGAATGAACTCGATTGCTAAAAACACAATATTAAGGAACATCTGAGGTAAAACACTACCTTTTCTTGTTCTTTATGCTATTTGAGCAGGTGTCAGTGCGGTAATGATAGCATTTTAGCGTTAAATACATCAGTTTACCTTTAGAAGCTAACACGCATTACATGAAACATCATTAAATTTTGTGTGGTTTCATATTTATATCTTCTGTTTGCTTGTTCTAAATGTTACTTGGGTAAGTAACTTAATAATTCATGTATAATACAACTAATCAAGTAAAATACAGTACTTGTATATGAATCATTGAAGTTATCAGCTATATTGTGAAGCCAGCCGTCACTTCATACTAAATTGTGTTAATAATAAAAGTAAGATATGGAAAATGTAGCTCTAATGCGCAGTTACTGACACAATAACCCATTAT